GTACTGTTATCGTGGTGATTGTAATATGGACCTTGTATTATTGAGCTATAAACAAGCCGTCACAAATTAACGCGACATTGACAGACCGGTCGAGGACAAACCTAACGACCCTATAAAATGTCAATTATATGACGTACGTAAATACACGTATATATTACTCCAGTTACTAACAGCAACTTTATGTACTGCTTATCAATATACTAGATGAAACTCTATCCTGGTCAAAATGTAGGGGTCAGTAGAGTTAAAAAAACTTCATAATTTTAACTGACCAACTCGGGAAACTATTTGGGTTTGTATGTCAATTCAATTGTGATCTACTGTATTTATCAACGTAACGGATTTTCATGTTAGAATTGTTATTTTTTATAAGGTGACAAGCGGCCACTTGAATTCCCAAAATAAGGACGAGACCGGTGCCCATAGGCGCATCTGCAATTTCAGATGCGTTGCTAACCTAATCGGCGGAAGAGTGGATGCACAGAAAGAGGATATTTCCCTTTACTTTGCGACACCCCTTTGTCAAATCCAATACCCCTTCCATTACTTCCTTATAAAAAAAGTAGTGGGAAAGGAACGTGGAAAAATTAGGTCTCCACCACGCAAAACGATTGCCGCATGTCATATGATTTGTTTTCTTCCTCTCACAGTCATATGGCTCCAGTCAGTCAGGTTTTTTTGGTTATTTAAATAACAAATAGTTAAGTGAATTAAATGATTTTGTAAGCTAACATCATATTAATCTTGCTCTCCATTAAAATATTATTAATCTTATCAGTAGTAAATGGTATGTCGAAGTGACGTCATATTTCGGGATTGCATTGGTCCATTGCGTAAGTATCGTGGCGTTAGTGGGACGTCTAATTTTGTGGGACCTTCACCCGAATCCCGGCGCCCGGACTCCCGAGGGTACGGTTACCGATACACTAATTATAAAGCTGTATAGTTGTGCAACATGTTACATAGTTGAAATCGCAACTCGACTGAGAACTTTTTGAAATGATGATGAAGTTCTTATATTCTTAATAGCTAATTTTCACACTAATAGTCGCTAATTGGTCACTGAGTTAGTTAGAAAAATCTGCAAGAACCGATTGGGTAATCATTCATTGACTCAAATGGCAGTAACCTAATTTAAGTTACTACAATTTGGATGTTGTTGAATAATCTCGAGTCCACACTTGGAATTATGTCGTGGATAATTTCTTAATATTCCGTAATAGCGATATTTCTTAGACCTATATTTCATCTCGTAACCATAGGGTTACCAATGTTTGTTATGTTTTAGGATCTGGACATACCTAAGACCCATAAGACTTCGGATAACCAGACATAGATATGGGTCAGATTATATTGGATTCAATCATCACGGACACCGGGGGACCGCATTAAAACCGGAGTGATGACGTAACGGACATTAGCACAGTTTATAGCCGCTCAATGATAGACGTACTTCAACGCATATCAATTACAGCTGTGCAACTCGCGCGTGACGATAAAGATTACCAATGTTACGTGATGTTCATTATGTCTTGCAGTTTATTTTACACCTGGCAGTCAACCGTTTACTTATACAAAAAGATTTATAGCGTACTAGCTATCGCCCACGACTCCGTCCGTGCGAAATTAAAAAATAACTTAATTAGCAGCTTATGTGTTCATCCAGAATGTGTTCTACATTTATGTCAAATTTCAGCAAGATCAGTGCAACTGTTCTAGAGATACCTTCAAACAAACGTACATCCATCTAAACATTCGCATTTATAATATTAGTAAGAAGTAAGATTAATCATAAGTTTAGGGTACTACAAATGTTGAAGTCACGTGTATTAATCTGCCAATCCACTTTTGTCATACATGTTCTATCAGAGGCCTAGCAAATAGGTTGAATATGTTGAATTATAATTGTAAAAAACACATTAATGATGAGTACTTTCAATCTAATGTCGCCATAATGTATAAAGGTTAAGAAAGTCGAAGAGTTTATTGAAGAGCATTCAATCTTACTTCTTACTAATATTATAAATGCGAATGTTTGGATGGATGGATGTTTGTTTGATTGTATCTCCAGAATGGTAGAACAGATCTGGCTGAAATTTGGCATAGATGTAGAATATTGCCTAGAACAATACATAGACTACTTAATAATTTTTTTTTTAATTCCGAGCGGGCGGAGTTGCGGGTGACAGCTTGTTAGTTAATAACACTTACTAGAACTGAACTAATACAAAAGAAAATAATATTTTGTGGATACGGCTATGTCTTAATGAATCATCAAACTGTTGAAAAATAACTCTACGTCGGCCTCCGCAAACCGTATGTTGGTTAATAGCATCTTTAGCATTGCGTTATTTCGGTATTTTGTAAGCAAGTCAATTGGTGCAAGGTTGTAATACTTCCGCATACTAAATGCTTAAGATGTAATGATAATACGTAAGAGATATGTTAGTATGCATTACAAAAATTTACTATTTTTTACAAATTATCTACTTACATGCATCTAGGTATTTCCTGGTTACAGTTACTTAAATATATTAGATCGTCTTTAAGAGCCGTGACCATCGTTTTTTTTCTAGTTATAAATAACCCCATCCTATCCAATAAAGTTCAATTTGACAAAACTTCGATTATTATAGGATTATATTGTAACGAAATATACTATTGTTAAGAACCAAAATTACACGAATTTCTTCTAATTTTTTTTTTCAGACGCGTAGTTTCCATCACAATCTTTAATATATTGCCTTCTTGAAATACTTTATCACTCACCTGTACTCTTAAACTTCTTAATGCAGGAAACAAAGCCAACCGATCGACTTCATCCCACGTGGCAAGTCCGGTGTTGTTTAGGTTCAGGAATCGCAGATGGCTGCAAATGTTTGATATCGTAAGTACTAAGAGATATCAAGCTATCTTTGTTAAAGTTCATTAGGGCAATAATAACTATTGACAGTAATTGAATCACATATTTAATACTCTAGGCTTGAGTACATCAATTAATTGCGATCGACAGCTATATTAAGATAAAGCAGTATCACATTAGGAGCGTCGGTGGCTCAGGGGTCAAGCACTTGACTTTCAATCTGCAGGTCCTGGGTTCGAATTCCGCCATGTACCAATGTGTTTTTCTATTTCCGTTTTACATATGTACATTTATCTGACGTTCTTACGGTGAAGGAAAATATCGTGATGTATACTGCACATATCTGAGAAGAAACTCAAAGATATGTGTGAAGTCAACCAACCCGCACTGGCCAGCGTGGTTGACTATGGCCTATTCACCCCTAACTTAGGGTGGGCTCCGAGCCCCTTTGGTGGGGACGTATAGTGAGCTGATAATGATGAGTATCATATTATATCGTCACTACGTAATATATAATTTGGCTTTGAATCTTGGAACTTGTAAGATAGTTATTATAAGAGTTATTTTGGCCTCAATCGTTTAGAAATTATATAGTTTAGATATAACTTACGCAAAAGCATCATGACTTTTCTTATTCCCATTAGCGTCTCCACATTTCTCGCACGGGTCTGGTTCTAGTGTTGCTATAGGGCACTCGTTGACTAACAGCGTTTCCAGATTCGGGAAGGCATATCCCAGTTTGCTGATCTCTCGCCAACTGCTTACGGGGTTACCGGAAAAGTGGAGTTTCTTCAATTGTTCATGCACGGGTTCGGTAAAGTCTACATTGAGTCGGGAGCATGCTTCACAACGGTCTTTTTCGTCTATTTCCTTCCCGCTTAAGTCCACGTAAGAATACTCGTTGAGGCTCAAATGCAACTCTTCGAGAGCTGGCAGAGACTTGAGTAGACCGAGGATGCTGGGCCAACCGACGTACGTAGAGTTCAAGACCAAGTGACTTAAGCTATCCCATTTAGGCTGAAGTGATTGAGCTGCTTGGATTTGCGCCGAGAGCCGATTGAAGCTTAGATTTAGAAAGCGTACCCGTGGCGTTTGCTCGAGTATTGCGAAGACCTACAGACAAAGAAAACCCGTCATTGTAGCTTACACAAACATTCCGAATATGTTATTCATCGTTGTTCTGTTTTTGAAAATATAGAGACTCAGGTGATGTTTGTTGGTGTAATAACTGATACTGATAATATTATAAATGTAGAGTACAATATTCCGGAAGAGTCGACATCAAGTAGATGTTGTAACAATCCTGTGAACAGATGTTAGACAAGACGATGCGTGTTGCAACTCGAACATGTGAACATTTTGTGATAACATTAAGGACGGAACACATATGTATTTCCCCCAATAATAAACAATGCACAGTTTAGTGTTTCTAATTCAAATGTTACAGTATGTTCAAATACTAATGGAGAACTAGAAGATGATCAGACTCTTGCTATTAATACTTCATGCTAATGTTAAAGTCCTAATCCACGTGTACATTGTAGGTACTAGGTATCCTTACCTCTTGCCATTCTGTAAGTTTATTATTCGCCAGGTCCAGTTCTACGACATCAGCACATTTATCTGCGAGTGCACCGGCATCTCCCGCGCAGTCTATATCGCAGTCATTCAGCACCAGTAAGGTGGGCACACTCAGCCGGGGTGACCGCTTCGGCACAAAGATAGCGACTGGCATGTCGTCTATGCACGGGTTCACTTCGCCCTTTGCGCCGTACTTACGCTCTAGTGCTTCCAAGAGTGACGGCATCTTGGAAACCTTTAAACAAAGTAAAGAACGTTATGGGATTAAAATAAAATTACCATCTCTCAAATCGCTTTGATTGTAAATGGACTACTAATTAGAAATAGAAATTAAGACTCATATTTACAACTATTGTTGAATCTCAGATTGGCATCGCCCCACTTAGTCTTTGCCATGACTTAGGCTTTATCAGGAGACTTCCTTCCTGTGCTCTACTTACAACACTCTAGTCCGGAACCTACTTTAACCTGATTTGTGTATTTTGTGTCAGCCATATTGTTTCAATAATTAACCTAATTTCGCGGTCAGTAAGAGTAAATAGCTTTAGTAGAAATTTTAATTTCTATCGGACTCCAAACATAAGCTACCTATCCATGTTTTACGCTACTAATATAAATGTTTTGCAAAACTGTTGCATCTAACTGTTAAGTTTATTAGTAATAATTTTTATAATGTAAAATGGTGCGCAAACTGAAGACGAAGGTTGATTCTTAGCAACAATTTGTTTGAATAAGAAACAAAAAACAGATTTGTCCTAAATTTCATTCAGATCCTTCCAACCGTTCTGAACTTATGGTAACAAACACTCATCTAAACTTTAGAATTTATATTATTACTAATAAATAAGATTTAATAAAAGAAAAAATCATAAATAATATAGCAATGTACGAGTTTTCATGTTACAAGTTGCAACATAACAATCCAGCGCGTCTGCTATTATAAATATTCATGTCGTGTTGAAACACGGGCAAATCAGATCCACGTAAACATTGTTCTGATTGTCTTTTGTTTATTTAGCAATTATTATTATTATTAAAAGATAAATTATGCATTCGAAATGTAAATCGATTATTATTAAAATCGAAATTGAAATGCAAAATGACCACCAATTATCGGATCAAATTGGCCTTTCGAGATTAGGTCTTAGGCAATTCGGTAATTTTTATTTTCTTACATTATTTGTAAAACAAAACGCCAGTGAACTAAATACATATTTTTTTCCAAAAATATTATGCGTGGTTCCCATCTAAGTGATACTTCCAACTGCTAGATGTCTATAAAGGTAAGGGTTTTTCTGCAATTTGCAGTTGCATTAAACAGTAGTCAGATCCGGAGTCATATCAAGGTTAGCAATCACTTTGAAAGGGTATTAACTTAAATTACTGCAAAGTCATTTTACGATCAACATAAGGTCATTTCTGTTTACAACAAATAAGATGTAAGCTTTTAAAGGGGTTTAATTTTTGAGGGACCAAAAAAATATACACGTTACACACGAATTATTCTTAAGGCTTGCAAGCAATTTCGATATAAAAAGTAATTTTTTAATGTAAAAATAAGATAAGATTAAAAAGTTAAATATTAAATTAAATTCTAAGATAGAGTTTCACTGGTTGTGCTTTTATCCTACGCAATTCTAGAGCTTTACAATTTTTAAATCCGATTTGGTACACTACGATACATCCCTAACAAGAAATAACAACAAAATGAGACGAGACAAGGCGTCCTTTA